ATAGATAGATAGATAGATAGATAGATAGATAGATAGATAGATAGATAGATAGATAGATAGATAGATGAGATAGATGAGATAGACATAGACATAGACATAGATATATACAGTATCAAAGGCAAGTTGTTCCACTGGTTGATTGTTCTCACTGATGGGAAATTTCTCTTTAGTTCTCGGTTGCTTCTCTCCTTGATTGGTTTCCATCCATTGTTTCTTTCACCAAAAAGGTGGAGGATAACCACTCCATCCCTGAACATCGAGATGGGGAGGGAATGGAGGTGCTGGAGTTGCAGGAACTTGTGTAGGCCGTTGCCAGGAGTCAAGGACAGAAATAACAGAGTTGGAAATAATGTAAGTTGGTTCTCTCCTTGATGAGTTTCCATCCATTTCTCCTTGTCCTGCCTTCTGGAGAAGAGGTTGACGTTCCCCCCCCCCCTTTGTTGGGGCAGCCCCTCAAATATTGGGAAACTGCTATCAAGTCATACCTAGTTCTTCTTTTCATTAAACTGGGGAACTCTTTAACCTAGGCATTAAAATATCCAATTCCTGCAACCATTCTTCATATATTTTATCCTCCGGGCCCCTCATCATCTTTGTTGCTCTTCTCTGCAACAAGGCAGGTTTTATGTCTTCCAGTAGATGACTCCAATGTTTTTCTTGTACTTTAAAGGTGGAAAATTTGTAACTTTCTTATCATCTGGTTAGGAAGGTTTACATTAGAATATTCATATTGGAATAATGCCTTATTGGGGGGTTGATAATTTCTAAACAATACAGAAAATGGCTTCTTAACTAGCAATTGCTTGGTTCGTTGCACCGACATCCACAAAATGTGGGCAATTCCACACAACCTTACTTCTACTCTGCCATTTTTTAAAGATAGTTTGAAGCCAATTCATGTCCATTTTCACTTCTACCAACCCTTGAAATGCTGAGAACACCAAAAACTAATCAATGTTCCCTCCAAATCATCAGAGGGAGAATGTAAAAAGTGACATTCCATCCCTGTTCCCTTCAACCTTGTTTTGATTTTCTGTTCTCAATATTATTTCCCCCCAGGGGTTGCTACGAAGTTGAGTGTCAAACTGCCACCGTGCTTTCTGCTTCATCGAACACCTGGGAAATAATAACACCTGGGTGCTTGGAGGGAAGAAAAAGTTGTGTTGAGCCCAAAAATCATAGGAAGGAAGAGCCAAACCAGATCTTCTTCGCAACTTCTGTATTTCAAAATGAAGGTAATTTAAAGTGCAATTTTGGGACCCATCTCAGCCACCCAACTCCAAGCTTCCCATTATCCATGAAGAGATCTGCATCCTAACCAGATAACAAGATTGCAAAATTTCCACCACTGAAGTACACAAAATAATTCCGTTTGTTGACTGGAAGACATACAACCTGGCTTATTTGCCTTGAATCTTTCCTTTTATCACACATGCTGGGTATTTCGATTTTCTTCAAGCAATATTTGTTCCTTGGAGAACTATCTCAATATAGTACATGTTCAACCCACATCTTCAAAACCTATTCTCATGTCACTGCATCATTAACCAGATGTAACGGTATACATATACATTTTAAAAAAAAGAAATCACATCTGGAAAATATGTAGTGTTCTGTCAGCTTGTAGTCTAGCTGTATCAACTATGATCAAGTTGACAATGGTTTGAGACTCTAGAAAGAATGCAGAGAAAAGCAACAAAAATGATTAGGGGACTGGAGGCTAAAACATATCAAGGATGGTTGCAGGAATTGGGTATGTCTAGTTTAATGAAAAGAAGAACTAGGTGTGACTTGATAGCAGTTTTTCAATATTTGAGGGGCTGCCCCAAAGAAGAGGGGGGACGTCAACCTCTTCTCCAGAAGGCAGGACAAGAAGAAATGGATGGAAACTCATCAAGGAGAGAACCAACTTACATTATTTCCAACTCTGTTATTTCTGTCCTTGACTCCTGGCAACGACTTAAACAAGTTCATGCAACTCCAGCACCTCCATTCCCTCCCCATCTCGATGTTCAGGGATGGAGTGGTTATCCTCCACCTTTCTATGTATGAGAATCTCCTTGTGTCAACAAAGATACAAAGTCTGTCCTCCCACTGATAGTTGACTTGTTCTTCTTCTAACTCCTTTGGTGCATGATTTTGTTGGGCGTCAGGTTAACGGTTGATGACGTCCCTTGGGTGCCTTCAAGAGACAAGCTCCACCTGGGGAAAAAGCACCATGTGTTCTTCCTGTGCATTGTTGTGGTCTTCAATAACCTATCCACCATGCACAGGTGTCTACTGTGACCAGGTACCAGAGATGGACCAAGGGTGTTTATAATCTTCTGGCTTACAGTCCTTGAAAACCTAAGTAGAGTCAGAGATGACCTTTTATATTATGAAATAAGCGAAGTATTTCACATTTCCAGAAGATCCCTTTGGCAAGAACCTCAAACGACTTGCCTTCTGCTGCTGAGCTGAAAACTGAAGGCATGAAGCAGAAAGGACCCTCCACTGGACAGAAAGCTGGACCTCTTATACTCCCCGCTGTCCAATATTTCCCAGTTAGAAGATGCTCTAAAGCTTGAAAACATTTTATATGTTAACACTTACAGCGTGCTTCAGATTGCAGTTAGGTTGCAAATATTTAATTGGTTTTATTCACTTAATCGAGTTGTTAAGTTTACACAGATTTGCCTCTGAATGAGTACGATATGTTTGCAGCAATCTTTTGGGGGGGGGCTTACTTTTAAATCGCACGTATAGCACCCACGGATCCTGTACAGATGCTTGGGAATATGTTTCTGTAGAAACTAATTGGTGGGCTCTTCCCTTCAAGTCTTCTGAAAAACCTAGAAGATAGCAAAAGGCGCCTCTCCCTTCCTTGCAGCTAGGAGAAATCTGACCCTCTTTCCTCCCCCCCTTCCGTTTACTTCAGCACCACAATATCTCAGCAACTGCCGTGGGCCTCTTGGGAGGGGTCCCGACTGCTCACCTCCGGAGCCAGGCTTCAGCTGCCTCACGGCAACATTTCGGGTTTCAGGAGGAAAAAAAATAATGCTGTTTCCTACCGCAGGGCACACTTTTTGTCCTCCATCCAGTACAGGAGCCAAAGTCACCGCTGTCCATTTGCTTTTACAGCATGTTGTCCTAGCAATGAAGCCAGAATGGATTGACACCAGCCGTGCTGGTGGGAAACGGTGCAGGGATCCTTTGCACGGAAGGAATAGCAATCCGGAGAATTATATTTGGACTCAGAATAAACCCCAGCAACTGTTTTCTCCTGGGCCATCCAGCACTTCTGCCAAACATTTTGCCTCTCTCTTTGTAAACAGAAATGTTTGAGGGGTGCAGCCTAAATCTGTCCCCTGCGTTCTCTGTTCAAAAGCAGCATCGGATAAGCACCAAGACTCTGCATCCCCCTCCGTATGCAGGGAAGCTGGTGCCAGAGGGGGCACTTCCACACTTAGGAAATATAAATCGAAAACATGGGNGTCAAAGAAGGAGGTCAAGGAACTAAGGAAAAAGAAGGAATGGGGAAAGAGGGAAGGAAGGAAGGAAAGAAAAGGAAGGTCAAGAAAGGAAGGAAGAAAAAAGAAGTATTGGGAAAAGAGGGAAGGAAGGATTGGAAGGATCATCTTTTGGTTTCCATAATGATGCCCTTTTTAAAAAAAATGGAATATAATATCTTTAAAAGTCAAAGGCTCCTTGTTTGTTTTCTCTCCCATCTTATTCCAGCTGATTATGGGATGGCAACAACACTCCCTCCCCCCCCACTCCCCATTTTATGCCCCAGCATGAGGAGCAGCCGAGAGTTCCTGCAACCAATGAAGGCCTCACTTCTGGCTCTGCTGCTGATCCCTGGGAGCAGAGCTGATGACTTCAACAGACAATAAAACTGATGGTGGGGAGGGGATTATGGCCATGTTGGATTATGACCTTCTTCCCTCTCTTGAAAAGGGGGGGGGGAGGAAGAGAACATGGGGTTTTTTGGGGGGAGGGAAATCAGCTCCTTTTTAATTCAAAGTTCTGGCAAAAGTAACAGCATCCCATCAGATCACTGATCTTAGTCAAGCTGGGATTCTCCAGACATGATTAGGACTACAATAACCAGCTTTAAAAAATGAACAGTCTCGTTAGGAGTTCTGGCTTTTTTTCTTTCTTTCAAAGACACCGGGATAAAGGAAAATGGAATAAAGGAAAAGAGATATACAGTAAATGCCTGCTTTTCTTTCTTTCTTTTTTCTTCTTTCTCCCTCCCTCCTTCATTTCCCTTTCCCCTTGTTTCCTTCTTCCCTCCTTTCCCTCTTTCCAATTCCTTCCTTCCATCTTTTTTTATCTCATCTTGCTTCCTTCTCTTTCCTTGGTAGAAAGGATGGGGGGTTGTAGGAATGAGGGGGAGAGGAGGAGGAGGAAGAGGAGGAGGAGGACTGTGAGATCCTTGGTACTCTCTGAACTTGGTGGTTTTCTTGCAGACGTTTCATTATCCAACAAGATAACTTTAAAGAA